CCCCCATGCCATGTTTTTCCCCCACCCAGTCACCGAGGTCATTCATCATTATTGTCAAGGGGGTAATGTGTGTGGGTGGGTGCAGAGATCTATGACTTCTTCATTTGAATGAACCTCATTAGATTGACTCTTCTTTGTAAAGGATCTCTTTAGAAAATAACTCTGGCAGTTCTTTAGGCGATTCTCACATGATGGCCGATGGAACATGACGCTTCAGCCGAGCATGTTTACTGGAACGGTGGAAGCACTCTTGCTTTGCTATATCATTCTGCCCTGCGTACCTGCATTTACATAGCAATGTGCTGTTGGACCTTGAGCTTGACTTGTGGTGCCTTTGCTGTCAATATGGTGCAATCTATTTTTTTACTTTTTCTTACTCCACTGATCATCTCCAGCTTTGAATGAGCCTATTGTGCAAGGACGAGCTGCTGGTGTCTTATTTAGACACACACTTGAAATAGCTTTAAACCCTCAGTAATGTATTCTTAGAAGTCTCGTCTCATTAAATCATAGAGAAACTCCACATAGGGAGTGGAGCGAAAACTATTTCAGGTGCATGTTGTGAAGTTTACCTGTGTGTTGCTCAAGGGGTACCACAGCAGTTCTAAAAAAAAAAAAAGATGCATTCCACATTTACCACAAATATAATCCCAGCTCCTTCTCCAAAGCACACTGAAGTTCCGTTTCCTTATTAGAGCAGATCCTTGGCAAGGCATCTTTAATCAGCCTGGTCCCAAGGGATGATATTTTTAGCCACCTTGTTTTTTGGAGGCTAAGACTCCTTTACCCACGCACAGCACTAATGAGATGGAGCGCTAGTGTAGGCAAGCGTTAATTAAGGCTAGTATGCAAGGGAAGAGGCAAAAAGCAACACGCTCATGGCATACATACATTAACTTTATCCCACCTCCTGCGCCTGTTTTTCTTTCTCTCTCCTTGTGTTTTTTCTTTCCTTTGTCTTTTTTTCCCGTAGGTTGCACAAACAACAGATGGCTGTGACGCCGACCTGTGGAAGGACGGCTTATTCAAATCCAAGGTCACGCGCTACCTCTGTTTCACCAGAAAAACTGTAAGTGTGAATAGAAACTTCTCCCTTTCGCTATGCATTCTGCACCAACGCCTCGTCTGCACCACCCTTGTTGTTTGCCAGCAGTTATTAGCGCCGTTGGTTGCTGCCAGAAAGTCTTAATGCCCTTTGATCAGTGGAAAGACCCATTTAAACAGTGTTGGCAGTGCAGTTTTGAACTTTTACATATAATGGATTTGCCTGCATATTCCAGATGAAGAACACATCTGTGAGATATTTTTCATGGACGTTTTTTTGTCCTCCTGAGGATATTATTTATTATTTATTCATGAAATAACAATGAGCTGTGTTTCAACTATTCCAATTTATTCAATCAACAGCGTCCCTCTACTGAATATGGGTTTGCAATCAGTGCTTCTTGAAAGCTGATGCACATCTAATTGTTAATATAAAAATAGTCCTTTTTATGTCAGAAATGACTCCACAAGAAGCACTTTCAGTGTGGTGGTGCTATAAATAGATCTCCCTAATTGGGCAGCACTGACTCTTCAGTGGCTGAAATGATCTTCTTAATGTTCCTCATAATGCAGTTTGGAATCGCCTGTAGCCTGCAGCTGATGTGTTGATGCGCTGCTGTCAGCGGCTCCGTGGCCATAAATACACCTACCTGTCTAACTTCAGCTTGCACAGCTTACCATTGGCTGCCTTCTCGTTTGTCTCCATGGCTTGCTGGTAGATAATGCAGACCGTGAATACAAAAACCTGCAATTTGTGTTATCGTTTTGTATCAGCTCAATCTTAGGACTTAATCCATTTTTTTTTTCAGGGTGTCCTCTAAAAGCCAGGCAACTTGGCGGCGGCTGCCTCGTGCCTGAACTCAATCTGCTCCTCAGTTTAGTACACAGCAAACAAATAGCCCTCCCCTAGCTCCTGTATTTCATCTTAAAATATGTGTCCACACTGTTTTAAAGACTTTGACACAAATAAAACATGACAGAGCCATCAACAAAGCCTATTTTGTCTGCCACTCAAAGGAGCTCCCACTGTAATTGTCTATGACAAAAACAGATTCTGTAAAATTAGCCCCTGAATTATGTGGGGGGGAAGTAAATAGTTTGTGATTTATCATACTCTAGGTTGGAGGTAGAAAGCCTCTTTTTGTCAGGGCGTGATGGAAGAAATCTCTCCCGAAAAAGGGGAAAAACACAGAAAAACAAGGTTCCATGCATAGTAATACCATTCATCCATATTCCTCCTTAAGTCAGTCTAAAAACTATGAATAAAAAATGTCTCTAATGGTAATGACTGTCGGGTAGCAGTAGCAGTGAGATCCAGCCTTTTTTCGGACGCATCAAGTCACGCCTGGCTCGCCCCACTCTCTACTGCCGCTGTGTATTATTGCAATTTATTATGGCAAAAAATGAAAATGTAATGGGAGGCAGGGAAGAGTCATGCTTGAAAATGTCAACTACACAGTCCCTGATTGTTTTTAACCAGTCCCATTCTGTTGATTAGACTGCCTGCTCCGTCTGCCGCCGTCCCACAGCTTCTCGCCAAAAGGTTGAGAATGATTACAAGTTCACAGATGCAAAAAAAAAAAAGCTATTAGAGAGTAATTACTTCAGCTATTTTGTCAACCCTTCTCTTTAGAGACTTCCCCAGCTTTTAGTAAATCATTGACTCTATTATCTCTACATTTTCTTAACTGAGCCCTGCAAAAAAAAAAGAAAAGACTAACCTTTTTCTTTTTCTTGCTCTCTGCCCTTTTTTTAAAAAATTTGAATTTGCATACGTGGCTGTAAATGTCCTGCCTGCACTCTATCTGTTAGGGCGCTGACGTCGTTGTGGACGTGAAGCTGATTGACATTAAGGACGCTTTGCCGGAGGGCTTCACACCTGTGGAAGAAACATTGGACACAAGTAAGTAAGCAGTCGGTAGCGACCACTCGTCCCTCCCACTCGTCCCTCCCACCCTCTTGTTGTTGTTTTCTTTCACTCTCCGACCAGCTTATGCAGAGGTCCTCGGGGGCAGCTTTGCTTGAGATAGTGAATGTTTTATGGGTGCAGGTTAGCTTAATTTATGGCAGACTGTGGGAATAAAATAAACATTTTGCCCAGGAGGTACAAGAGAAGAGAATCATGAGTCATTGTTTATCTCAGCTGGAGCTGTGCTTTTCTTTATGAGGAGCTTATTTATTTATGTATTTATTTGGGGAGAGGACGAGTGGATGGGGGTTATCTAATATTAATGAAATGCATTCCCCAATGCTTTAGTGCTTTTTGAGTGCTATGTATTTCCCCCCTCACTATCCATGCCTTGGAAATGTAATAATATTTTGGTGTGGGGAGTGAGGACAGCTTGTTTATTATTTTTATTATCATTGCATTTACACTGCACTTTCCAGTGTTGCAGGGGAAATAAATGAGCGAGGCACAGATGCAATATAGAGAAGCATGGCAATGATTTTTTTTTTTTTTTGCCAGAATGAAGAAAAGAGATTACGTTTTGTTTGGCTGTGGTGTAATTTAATGTTTTATTACTTTATGTGAATCCATGTTTAATGTATACATGGGACATAATGTATGCATTTCTGAGTATCCAGTTTAAATCTCTGTTGTGCACTAAAGCTGATGGAGGATTCTCTTGCTTCTGTCATTTTACCCACTAAAATTATAAAGAAAATTGTAATAATGCATGTTGATATTGTGGCTTTCCAATGTCCAGTTATTTCCTTTTGAGCACAGCAAGTTATTCAGAAGCTATTAGCTCATCTCTGATGCTGAGACTGCTAATGACTAAATAGCAAAGCATAAAATAGATTAGGATATATAGAGAGATATGTAAAATGTCTACAGACGCTTTTTTTAAGCTTGAAACTCCCCCAACTCCTGTCTGAGTCCCTCATGTGTACCTGACTCATCAGAGGAAACGGCCACGAGGAAGAGGAGGCTCTGCGTGAAAAGCAGCCCCTGTGCGGCCGCTGTGACGGCTGTCTACGACATCCAGATGATTGCCAAGTCCAAGTACCATCTCGTTAACTACACCTGTATAGGGTGAGCTGCTTGACACTGGAAATAAATGTATCCATGATATTTTGTATTTTCCATCAATCGCCACATTTGATACATTTACTCATTTGCATGAAGGATTAGTAGCTGTTTAGAACCTTGTATGTCTCCTCTTCATCTTTACACAGCGAGATAAACAGTATGGGGGTATGGTACCGAATGGGAGATGTTTCTCAGCATCAGTCCTCCCAGGAAACGTCCAGTACGGCTCACGGGGATGCTCCAGCCAACACTGCAAGGTAACATCACGCCACTTTATTCGGTAGTGCCTCTCGAATTTTACCTTTCCTCCTTGCTTCCTTTTTTTTTATTGCACACTCAGTGTACTCCTGAGCTGTTGTTACGCAATGAAGACCCAAACAATTGATCACTCTGGGGCAATCTGCAGTAAAGGTTGTGGCCGGACAAAACAAGGTAGCGAGGGTGAACCGGAGAGACAGGCTAACTAGACAGGATCCCCCCTCCCCGAACAAGAACATGAGTTCAATGAGGGCTAAACTCCTGCTATTTGTGGGTCGGTCCCGCGAGGCGGAGGCAGGTCGCTCCTCTTGACTGCGGTGATGGGAGCGTTGTACTGTGCAGACAAAAGAGGAGGTGACGTAGCCCGGAGAGCGAGCGACAGCTGCAGAGGAAGGGAGGAGAGCTTTGAGATCTCCGCCATGCTGGAGAGCGTGCGTGTACCCTTCCTCTGCTCACGCTGCTCAGGCTTCCTCCGCCTCAGGCCTCCGAGCCAACGGAGCCAACGGAGCCACGGAGCCAACGGAGCCAACGGAGCCACCCTTTGTACTGTGTCCAGATCAAACAGCTCAATTATTTATCGCAGAGAAGGGCTCGGGGATTTCCACTGCAAATTGTAAATAAACACGCGAGACTCCTTCGGTGTGGAGAACGGGAGCAGCTTGGCACGGGGGGGGGTGATCGGTTTGCCAGCTTGAAGTGCTTTGCTCTGCCATCCTGTGCTGGGCTGAGTAAAAGCCACAACACGCCAGAGCGCTGGATGCCAGCAAGCGTGTTCAAAACAGAGCTTCTGTTCACATGGGCCACTCAGCAGGACGAGAACAATCAAAATGGACGGCCATGAATTCCAAAAAAAACCCCAAGTTCAATCTGGGTGGAGTTTTGTGAATTGTCCGTATTTGTTGGAAATCGATGGTCAATAATCTTTGACGTGTTGAAGCTCTGGTGGGCTCTCGGCCCACGTGTACGCCTTAGTGACTCTTACCGGTAACCCTCCGCTCTTCTGAAGCCCACTTTCACATCGGTGAGGCTCAAAGGTTGGAATAAATTGCACCTCGAAGCGACTCGCACCCCCCTCGTGACGCCTGCTGAGATCACAGGCTGCTGTTCTGGTATTAACATTCAAACTCATTTCACAGTCAGAGAGTCGTATTTTGAGGGCATTTCCATCCGTAATGTGCTGACACATAAGGACGGCACTATGGGCCATTTAGACGGCGGCGGTTCTTTGACTATTTATTTGGCATCCTCTCTGTGTAGTTACATGCACTTTAGACAACCGTACATACAGCCATAAATATGTCTGTAGTTACTTTAAAGTCACAGATTAGATAGTTTGACACAGTGATTTATAAACAGCTCTTCAACCCTCACTGATGGCTTAAGTAGGTACAGTGCAACTGTCTGTGTAGCATCACCCCACTATACTTTATTCATATTGAGTACGAGTATGAAATTCTCTCTTCCATGCCTCCTTCAGGCTATCTATAACAACTTTATGGCCTTTGGAGAATAGCACCTCTTAAATTTAAGTGCTCTTTACAGTCAGTGGAAAAGATGTTTTAAATACAGTCAATAATGTGTAAATTTTTAATGACCCTTATAATTTTGAAAGCTGCAGTGATCCCTCTCAAATGTTAAGTTGCCTCAGGCAGCGGGAGCTTGTTAGAGTTGTGTACAGTCGTACACTGCAAATCAGTAGCAGCGCAGCGCAGAGCTGCAGTCCACGGTAACTGCAGGGTGTTGCATCATTATGGGATGCACGGAGTGATTGCATCAAGGGTAAGGTGCTGTATTTGAATTGTTTTTGTATCTTTTTGTCAGCTGAAAACAGGGTGTCTGCAGCTCTTCAACAGTTTTTAAAAACTATTGTTTGTTGTTGAATTTGTTTCCTAGAAATGGCTTTCAAAGAGCCTTGGATAGAGAAACTAAGAGTTAATTTACAGAAGTTTGAAATATTTTCTCTGTCTGTATCCGGGCTGTTGAGAGACATCTGTAAACTGAGAGTGGGATTGCTGCAACAGTACATTGTGCATGTACAGGGCTGTTCAATTCTTCAGTGTGAGTTAGAGTTCCAGTCACTACTGCTAGCTACAGCTCAATGTCTTTCAACTTTAATGAATTATGGTTGCAACTTATAAGCCTTTTTCTTGTAAATTATTTAATTACTTGGTAAGTGTATGAAATGTTAAAAATAGTGAAAAACGTTCCCACAGCCTAAAGTTACATCATCAACACTTTTAACAGTCCAAAACTCATATTTCATTTCCGATCATATTTGGCAAATATAAGATTTGGGATCCTTTACAGATTTGAGAAGCTAAAACTAGCAGATGTTTAGCTTCTTTGTATGAAACATGTATTATTAATTAAACATCAAAATTTACTTTATTTAGTTTCAATCAACTAATTGATTAGCAGCTCTAAAAATAAATGATCCTTTTGAATTGGCTAATCCATCCATCTATTGTCTGCAGTTGGTTTAGGTCACATTAATTATCATGAAATAGTTCTCATCATCAACTGGGAAGTACTGGAAATACATGATACGATAATAAAGAACTCAAGGCCGTATCATCCCAACATACCGTTTGGCTGCTATCATTCTGAAACAGGTATTGAACTGAATTCTATGTTCTGTTAAGAAAAGTCTCAGGAAGTCTTGAACTCGGCGGACCCTTCAGAAACCCTGTGAGAGAGAATCTCAGGAATTAATAAAGGAATGGTTCAAGGATAAACACTGAACTTAAAATCCTTATTTGTTATTGGCTCAGGCTGTCGCGCCATATTGAGCCACTAAAGCTGTTGGGTGTACGGGCCCGTTAAGCGGTCTGCCGTTGCAAATGCGTTTGAACCTTGTGTGTGTTTAACGTCTCTTTTATCGAGTTTGTCTAAAGCGTCTCAACCGGCCAACCGTGTTCTGTTTTGATTCATCGCTGCCTGCTTTGATGTCAACCACTTTGGCTTGTTCTCTTGTCAAGACCGGCGGTATCAGCCGCTCCCTGACTTCATAATGTGGAAAACCCGAGCCATCCGGTCAGCCTTTTAATGTGTCCAGTAAAGTATCCCCCTCCTTCCTTCTCCTGGCCAACGCTGCCATTTGTTCTCCTGATAAAACTGTCATTGCTGAGGCTGATATCTGACCTCTACACCGACTGCCTAAATTAGCCTTATCCTAATATTGCAATTCCTTTCACTTCACTCAGAATCAAGGTTTTTGACATTTCTCTCAGAATAGTCGGCCATTGTACACACAGACGCTTTTTAAATCAAACCGTACGGCGATAAAAATGTCAAGGCCGAGTATCTTTTTTTCCCTCTGCGTACCGTAGTCGGCTTTTTCTTCCAACGCGTGAAGTAGAGAGTCATCAGTGTCAGATTTGGCGTGCATATCAATATGTTTCGGATAGCACTGTCTTCTACCTGTGACACTCCACACATTGCTGCAGCTCTGCAGGAGTGTTGTATCAGCTTTCATTGCTCGCTGGTTAACAAAGACTTCCCACCAGCACACAACTCTGGAGGAGAAAAGACACGGCGTGACTGTCAGTGTGTCGTGCTGGAGAACAATCATTCCCCGGGCTCAATCTTCACTCATTACTTTCTTGTGTTTCGGAAGAAAGTTGCCAAAAAAGTGGCAGAGATCAAGTGGAAGGAATGCAGAGAGCGGTGTCAGGAATGATCGAGTGATCAGCGGAGATCTGATGAGCTCAAGACTGTTCGGTGATTTGCCACCAAAAAATTCAGAGAGATCCTCTTTTCAACACCTGACACCGAGCTTAAAGGAGGATAATGATGGGTGAGAAAGCAGCTCCCACAAAGCAGCACTGTCGGCACATAGAGGAAGGTGCGGAGATGTTGTCACAGGGAAAAGGCTGGATGTGTGTCAAAACAAGAGCTTCCAGCTCTCTGTATCGCAGCTCTGGCTCTTCAGCGATATTACTCTCATCCTCGTCTTCCCTCTCCACTGACTACCACTCGTCTGTCCCCGCTGTCTCTCCCACTTGCTCTTCTCCTTCTCCTTCTTTCACACCAGACAACTCTTTTCCTTATTCCACGTGGAACAACTTTAAAGGGCACCATACAAAAAAAAGAATCCGTTGAACTGTAATTCAAGTTGTCAAGTAATCCTCAGTGTCGTCGTTTGCTGTGCCGCACTAATGCGATTTTATCTCCGGCAGATTTCATGGGAACATAAGACTCTTGATCTGGGTTTTAATTGCGTAAGTCTTTCAGGCCGTGTTCCCAGTTTTACTATAATTTGATGAGGAACTACACTGTAATTGAATATTCAAATTAGGAATATGTGTCAATATGGCTCTCCTTGCCTGGAATGAGGATTAATTGTTGTCAAAACTCCAGTGGCCGACATAATAGGAGCCCCAACACTGCTGTTGATTAGCAAATGCATTTGCCATGTTTTTGTTTTAAGAATTAGTTGTCTAATTGATTTGCCATATGTTACCCTCTCCAATGTACCTAAAATTGTATTTAGAAATCACCAATTTGGATTGAGACAGTTTTGTGTTTGAAACAGATGGGAAAGGCAACCCTGGAGGTTGTCCTGTAGGAAAGAATTCACGAGCAGCACATTTCCCTGCTTTCACGTCGAGTCTCCGGGGCTTTAAGTACCACTTTACTTCTTCAGATACATAGATAAATAGCCCGACTTAATACTTTCTCTGTTCTCTTTGTTTATTCTGAGTACCAATTCAACAACACAAACACAGACGGCCTAAAAGGGCGTTTAAACCATTCACCCCCCACCCACCCACGTCCATGGGATGTCTCTGTGCTTTTGAAAGATGTGTACCTTTCTTCCTCAGCGGTGGAATCAACCTTTTGAAAGGTAAAAGAAGTCTGCATCGAATGTGGCAATCGTTCCCGCAAGATTGATGCCAACCTTTTAAAAATGCACCATTGGCCTGGATTTAACATGGCCAAATGCTGATGTAAATGAGGAGGAGGAAAGTCGACCCTTTCATTGCAAATAAATCTGAGTTGCAGGCTTCAGCTCATAAATACCACAGCCTGTCAGAAGTCTTGTTTTATTGCTCTTGATGGAAATTATTGCATTTATTTATCTCATCCGGAGAGATAAGGCTCTGAAAGCCACAACTCACGCGCAGCTCTCACGTTATATGCAGATCTGCCGTTAGTCTTAAATTTCAAGGTTTTTGATTTTACACCCCCCACATAAGAATTATTACGTTTTCCATAAACAGGCCAAATACAGAACATGATACACAGAACACACTTCATTATTTGCATCTTCACACCTGCTCGACCTTATTCTTTGTCTTTAACAACAAACTCTTACGCCGGCGTGTCCTCCAATCAAAGCCATTCCCTTTTTTTTAATGACCAACTACATTGCATTATCATTATACGATCATTTGTTTTATAATGCAATCCCGGAGCTCATTTTACCTTCAGAGCATGTCATGTTATGCAGCTCTCTCCAAGCTGTGAATTATTTTTTTTCTCCCCCCCTGCTTGCTGTGGATTTATCGATCCGTAGGGGTGAGTCACAGGGTGTAATTCATGATAGCTTGATTGATGAGGATTTCAATCTTATATGGTTTGTTAACTTCAACTGCCCACAAAGTGCATTCTGTGCTGTTTTCTGTAATACAAGGCCATGAAACGGTAAAAAAAACAAGACTTCCCCTTGAATAATGGAATCTTTCAGTTCCTCCAGAATTTACAAGATGCTGCCCCAATCCCCCGGTAAAGGTCTGTTCAAGCCCCCGGGCAGCTGAGGCACGGTGTAACTTTGACCATATTTCACCCCTTAGATCCGTCCTGCTGTTTCAGTGCTCGGTTATGTTTTTAGATAGAAAAGCCTTCGTGTGAGGAGGGAGTTTCCATGCTAAATATATTCTCTTGCGTTATACTTTAATGTCCGAGCAACGTATCCTGGAACATAATTGTCCCCTTCAAATACAAAGTGTACATGCATTTACTATGTTTTTACTGTGGCGATCCATAAAATATTGTTGCTTTCTGTCTCCCAGCAAGAGGACCACGAGCAGGCCGGGCGATGAGCACCAGAGCAGTGGGAACTACACCATGACGGGTAAATGATCTCATTTTACACGTATGCAGTTCAGTGTCATTCATGACTTCACTGTAGACAATTAAAAGGGATTTAATAGTTTGCCCAAGATGCATTAGGTTGTAAAAGTGCTTACTTTTATCATCTCTCCCAGGAAGGAAAAGCTCCAAATATTTGGAGAAGAGGTTCAATACTTACTTATGCTCTCTATGTACACCGAACGTCGTCTCCACGTGTACATAAAGGCGTCACCTCTGCTACTTGATCTACAAACGCTCTAGATCTCCTCAGTGATGGATACCGCACAGAGCTTCGCTTATCTGAGCGAACGTGACTTCCCAGAGGAGCTCGGCATTACACTCAAGAGAACATTTAAAAGCTGTCAAAGACGATCCGTCACATGCCATACTCGCATACGTGTATATACTGTGCATTGCACCGGACTGATTCCCTTTCTCTTTGTCAAGGAGAGAAACTCGGCAATAGTACAATGCTCCGGGACTAAAACAGAAGAGAGGCTAATTCATTAGGAAGCGGAGCTTAGCTATGACAGCCTCAGAGCCGTGGAGTCGGAGCTGGCTGAGGCGCTGGAGCCTTAAAGAGCGTGTGATCCACACGAGGTGAGCGAGGCAGGCAGGTTTTTATCCAGCTGGAGAGAGACACCATGTGGTGAGGATTCCTCCTGCTGCTCATGCAGAGGCACAGCCAGGCTATGGCCACGGTGCACCCTGCCTTTTCAATACAAGCCTATTAAACAATTGCTGAAGTGCACATGATAGAACTGCGTAAGGAAATGTTTAAATATAAAAACAAAGTCTCTAAATTCTCAGCCTTTTTTTTTAATTTTATTTTTTTATGCCGACATTAAAAAAAATCATGTAATTGACAAGAAATGAATACATAATGTTGTTGCTCTGACTGTCATATTATAAGTTAGTGAAGACAAGTGTGGCCCTGAAGGAGCAGACATTACCACACAGCTGAGTGCTTTGTGGCATTGGGTGTGCGACTCCTCCGCTGGGACAGGGTTTGAGTGACAGTGAAGAACATGCACATACTGTACAGCACGTTGCCAGCAGTCATCCTTTATCTCCAGAAAACTGTCCTTTGCAGCTGTGCAGCCTCTACCTTCACGTGTCCCCGCATGGTGTTTAAAGAAGAGAGGATAACGGAGTTAGCCCGAGCTTTATTTCTTGCGACTGTGTACTCGTCAGGCTTTACAGCATCCCACTGTGAATGTGAGAGAACGCAGCTCGCCTTCATTAACAATGTGATAGCCCGCGGACCAAGTGTGAGGTCGTTGCCGACAGCCTATTTGTGTTAATTGTTAGCGGTGGTAGCTCTGGCGTGGGTGTGTGTGTGTGTGTGTGTGTTTGTGTGTGAGTGCGTGTGTGTGTGTGGGTGTCTGCTTGTGCACGCGTGTGTGTGGGCTGACAGCTGGCCAGGTTCGAGTTGGTCTAAAACCATGTGCGCTCTGTCAGGGTTGTACAGGCGCCTTCTTTAGGATTGATGAATTGCCTGCTTTCTTGATTAAACCCTCCGTCACTTCCCAACAAAACAAAAACCCGAGCAGAGAAAAAAAAAAAAAGAGAGTGAGTTGAGGGGAGGAGAGGTAACATGTCTGGGAAATCTGTCATCCGCAGTCACATCATGTACAGATGTGATGCGCAGGAGCTTTGACATTTATTACCAGAATATTAAAAACTAATTCACATTTATCTTGCAGCCCTTTTTTTTTTTTTCTCCACTTTGACAGTTCAAGCTCATTTGAAAAGTTATCAAGTTTTCACAGCAGCGCCAACCTTTTGCTTTTTCTTCACCACGTTGCTTTGATCCACGCCAAGTCCCTCCGCCAATTAGGTCTGTTCTTCATGCATTGACAGGAAAGCAGGAAGTTTAAAGGTAATTAAACGTGCAGTCATGAAATGTGTCTAAAAAGCATATGTTTGATAAAAAATGAATGTGATGGTGTTGAAGCCCTAAAATAGACCTTTATGACGGGTTGCATTGCACTCTCTCATCATTACCTACAGAACGAGCGTATAGTATCCAGCAGACATCCAGCTGATAAGAAGGTAAACGTAATAAAAAGCAATACATTTACATATCTATTGCATTAATCAAAAATAAATCCTGACATTGGCCCTGATCTAACGTAATATGGAGAGCAATTATTTCCCTATCCATTAGAGGAACTTCAATTAACACACACGAGACAGTTCATCCTTCAGAGGAGGAGGAGGAGGAGGAGGAGGAGGAGAAAATAGGAGGCTCAAAATTAACTTGGGTTTGCAAAATATCTTGGCGGAATGACAGTGATTTTTGATTTTCAGGAAACAATATTGGAATTCTTATTAAACTATGTGCATCTGCTTTTAATTTGCTGCAAATAATTGGAAAATGCAATGGAGCTTTCCAATTAAAGCTCCACTTTATGCTGTTTTAATAATACCCTCATAATATTATAGCTTATGAAATGACAGGTGAGTTGGTGTATGAATAAAACATAAAGCCCTGTAATAAGAGACAGGGAAAAAAAAACCGGGACAGTTGTTGGGGGGCTTTTAAATGCTCGACATAATTTGCATATATTAATCTCCTCTTTTCAGCCTTATCGAGTATTCCACTGTATTTGAAGTTAAAATAGTCGTGACAGGCAGGGGTGCGCTTCGTTTTTTTCCAGGGATTTATTACTTGTATAATTCTGGATCTTTAATAAGCCAATATGACTGATCCTCTGAGTTCTGTGGAATTTGGTTAATTGTTCCAGATGGTGCTCACTGATTATGCAAAATTACTTTATTTCTCCTCTTTTTTTTTCCCCCAGCTACACCATTTCCTGATTGACTAACATGGAGGAAAAAGATTATTTTTGGCGCCGCACTTTCATTAAGAGGGTTCTCATCAGGTTTCAAACAAAAGTTCCATCTTATCTCCCTGTGTAGTTCTGCGCGAGGCTGTGCAGAGGGAGGCGATCAGCCGGCTCTTATCTCAACCCGGGATAGATCTCAACTGCTTCGGCACCGCTGGGGTTATATTTTAGAATAACACAATTCTTTAGGCTGAGGGATTAAAAAACACGACCTCTGGATAGTGACACAAAAGTTATTATAGTGTACGCCGTTCTCTTCTTTCTCTTTTCTCCTCTCTTTCTCTCCCTCAGATTGATGAAATTACTAAGCAGCGAGGTTGGTCCCTTCCACTTGCAGCTCGGGCTCCTTCCACAACTCACTAACATTCTGTTTTGCATCAGCTAAACCGAGCTGAATGAATCATTTATGGAAGTGTTATGGGGGAGTATCGGCAGATTTACTGCCGAGCTTTTACTTTAGATGGAATGGGATTTCTATGAAACCGATCTTGATGTCTGAAGTAATGCCAAAGCTTACATCAAGACATGAAAGGAACGCTCTTAAAACCCTCGTTTTGCTTCTTAATTCCCCCGGTCAGCAAAAGGGGAAACAGAGAGGGAGGGGGGTGGGGGGGGGTTCAGCAGGAAAATAGTATTTACACCTCATGTAGACTCACGCACACCTCCTCAAACTGTTTACTACTCTCATCAACTCATGATATGAAGGACTGCCGTATTTCTTCTTACAATGTGATGGCTTATAAATTACAGTGTTTATAATGATGATTAAATTAATGATGTAGTTTGAGCTGTTCATGCATTTTCCTTATTCAAATAGGAGCATAGTTTCAACATTTGGACAAAAATCAGCATGTTAAGAACAAAAGTGAATGCTCAAAAGATTTTTAAAAAGAAGGGAAGAGATTTTACCAGAGTTATTGTCGGCGTCATTGAGTGCAAGTTAGTCAGAACTACAAACTAAAAAGTCTCATCATTGTTTTCTGATCTCAATAGAAGCTCTGTTTCCTTGTGAATCTTGGAATAAGTTACATTGGACACGTGTTCAGAAAATTGTGATTTTGGAGTTTGTGCGTGTGTTTTTAAGAATACAAAATTTAAAAAGTTGTCTTTATTCTTAAGAATTTCTGATCTGAAAACGTTTGAAAAAGCACTCTAGTCTAATTTGTTAGGAAGTTGCATTCAAACCAGAGCCAAACACAATATAGAAACCAAAGTTTGTTTTATTAATGTGGATTCTGTTTGTCTCCGACGTCAAAAAGCAGTTTTGGATTTTAACACGTTAAACACAAATCCTGTTGGTTGAATCTAAAACCTGATTGGACTATCCAGGTTACTTTGGACACATGATCGATCCCAGAGTGAGGGTGCCATTAACTATTTGGGGATCACTCCTGAAGGGATCGTAATGGAATTTTTGACTAGAGCCTTGAAGCCCTCCGGATTTCTGGACCTTTATTTCAGTCAAATACGAGACTTTAAATGGCCTGTGCATTTGCAGACTGGACTCTGGAGTCTCATCCCTCATTGCTTTCTATCCATCCCTGAGATAGTAGCAGTGCTCCATTAGTTCCAGTGTCCAGACGTGGACAGTCTCAATGGATGGGCCTGTCACGGCTCCCTCGTTTGCCCCGTGTACAGCAGGGTTTGTTATCACACATCTAATTAGAACTTGATAAAAAATATTTCACAAAAATCCAGTCATTAAATATAGTTTAAGGAGATTTATGGTCAAATATGCCTTAAAGATCTTTTAATGGCTCTGCTGACTTGTTAAGTTTGTAATTAATGATCTTCTAATACATACTGTGGTGTGATTTAGAAAGCACAATGAGATTCTGGGAATGAAGTCGTTTTGGAAAAGGGCATCTGGGGCTCCCAGAAGCTCTATTAAATAGTTCTGCTCAGACTGGTTTGCTTAAAGCCATGCTGTGAAAAAGTTCACAGGCATCGGCATCTTCACATGTAGACGTATAGACCATTTCCATGTGAGGGTGCGAGGAATCGTGCATGATTATAATACAGTTCCTTTGTCATTTCATAATAGTCAATTAGCGTGTACAGAAAAGTCCACGGCTCCTCTGTAGTGGTACTTTCACTTTTTTTTATTTAAGGGATGGAAAACGTCTTTCATCAAAGTCCACTAATCTAC